GGTAACCTCCCTATGAGTCATACACACCCGAGGGCTTCCACCTGCCCCTCAGAGAGAGGGGAGACTCTTTAAAAAGCCCTTTCCTGCACAGGCAGCCTTGCAAACGTCTGGGTGGTCAAAACAGAGTGCCTCGTTGTTCATCAAACATTTACGCTAGCAGTCCCTCTTCAACACCAGAATTACATTTGAAATCCCGCCAGTTACGTAACAGGCACCTAAACATGGCAGCTGGAGCTTTAAATACCTGCATGTGCGGGTGGGATGGGGGACTTCCATCTTTTGAGAGCATCTGAGATGAAATTTTCCTTCAGCAGTGAGAGTGCTAGCCTGGGGAAATCAGCCAGTATTCTTTTTCTAATGGCACACGTGCATTTCTAACCAGAAATGATGTTTTTTTTGTTTTTTTTTTAAAGCAAAGTAAACAATTTCTACCATATTTAAAGGGTATAAAATGGTGAAAGTGTTCACAGGGCAATGTGGAAAACCTTCCTCTCCTCAGGAAAAGCCCGTTCCCACAAAGTCTGATAGTTTATCTGCTTATTAATCACCTTCAAATGATGGTTCCTTAGTTTTGACAAGATTCTTGGGGTTAACAGATGATAAACAGATACAGTAAAAAAAAAAAAAAAACTTGCTCAAATTCAGTAGAAAAGCACACGTAGAGTTTGAGAGACCACAGGGCTGTCACAACATGAGATTTTTACTATAAGACACGCTGTAGAATCTTTTGTGATATGGATACAAAAAAATCAATATTTATTTTGGGGAAATTTTATAGTCAAAGTCTTTTTATTTCTGTCTGTATAATTAGCTATTAACTGCATAAACACTTCATTACCACTCTTTCAGACTTCATTGCATCTGCAGTTGCCCATAAATTTTCGTATCATTTGACAGACGTGATCAAAAATGAGTTGCTGTAAATACATTCTGAAAAACAGCAAATAAGAATACATATAAAGGATCAGTTTTATGACCACTATTGCAATTCATCCAAAGGTAATTACAAATGATCAGTTTGGAGCGCGGGTTACTAGAATGAATGATAGTTATCAGTGGGCGACTTAAAAGCTTACTCTGTAAAAGCCCCACTTCACATTAAAAAGTAAATTATCACACAGTCATGACATGAAAAATATATACTATTTGGAAAATCTATTTGAATGGCAAGAATAAAGACTATTAACATGATATTGCAGATTCTATATTGTGCATAAGATTTAAAATACGTCCACGCTTCTTTAGCAGTATCCTACCAGGCTACTTCGTCTTAACTGTGGACCTGTTATGAGACGAATGTGAGTGCATACATTTTGAGGTTATGGTTCCCCAGTGTGACTGAAAGTATTATTCCTGGTGGAGTTAGCACCAACCTATGGAAGCCCGTTTCCACCACTAAAACATTTTTTATTAATTAATTAATTAAAAACAAAGGTATTCATAACTCGAAATTTCAAGTTATTTCAAAATTTCGACTTATTAACTCAAAATTTTGAGAAAAGTAACTCGAAATTTCGAGTTAGCGCTGCCAATCAGTAATCTACGTGAATGACGTCATTTCCTTGTTACCCGGAAGCTGAAGCCCTCAGCTACAATTGCTACAGCTAAGCTACCAGTACTACATCCAGTCGTGAATGCACAGATTGCTGCGTGTTTTCAGCGAGGCTTCACAAATGATGAAATCCCTGTGTTATTAGATTAATCACATGGTGTTACTATCAGCAAATGTACTTGCAAAAGCGCCAATTTGTTGGGATCCATTTTTGAGTGCGCGTTCCTCTGCGCCATATGCTTCCGGGTAACAAGAAAGCGACCTCATTCACGTAGATTTTTCATTGGCAGAGCTAACTCGAATTTTTGAGAAAAGTAACTCGAAATTTTGAGTTATATTTCTCGAAATTTTGAGTTACTTTTCTCGAAATTTCGAGTTAATAAGTCAAAATTTCGAGAAAATAACTCGAAATTTCGAGTTATGGATACTAGTTTTTTTGTTTTTATTTAGTGGCGGAAACGGGCTTCCATACCAACCACCCCCAACTCAGCTTCATATGAGCCAAAGTAGCAAGAAATCTTCCTGGCATTCTCATAAAGTCAAATACTATGCAACTGCGGAGTGGGTGGTTACTTGTACAGCGTAACCTCACACAAGCACACGAGCTTGACATCTGCCTTCCAAGAGTGTGGAGTGTTGTTCGGAGCAGCAGCAGTCGTCTGCAGAGCCGTAACATCAGTTAATGAAGAAGTTCTCACGAAAGATGCTGTAACCAACAGCACAAGCTGTTAGGGGGATAACTCCAGATCAATACAGTCAATCGAAGCTACAGAGATTACTCGGCTGGTTTGATCAGTTTAGCCTTGAAACACCTAAGAAACTCTCTTAACTATGAACGATTTGCTCAAATTCTGAGTGGGAGGGGGTTTTGTATCTTCAAGGGAAACTGATGTTCACCTAATAATGAACCACAAGAGTCCTGCTTTACGAAAAGAAGCCACAATTTGAGTAGCCTGTGTTAGTTGTATGACATAATTACAATAATAGCTGTTAAAGAAATTAT